GAGTGTAATCCTAAGACACACCACAAACATTTACACTTTATTAAAGACGTTGTCTTAAGCAAGTGAAGATGAACGATGTGTTTAAAATGCAACGTAATTGGCTTTGGGAATAAAAACAGAAGAAATGAATGCATGAATGTAAACGGGTTTTTTAATCTGTTATATAAAATAGTTTGAAGAAACCCGTAACCCGACTTCCATATTCAATAATTACAAGTTTTGAACATTCTTCAAACTATCTTCTTTGGTGTTCAACTGAAAAAAAACAAGGTTTGTGAAAGTGAATAGTGACTTAATGATGTTCAGTTTTGAGTGAACTATCCCTTTAATAGACACCCTGTGTGTGGTAAACTACACTGTAAGCCATCTTGGTGATTGCCAAATGCATGAATGTAAATGTATGATTCAGGGTGTGAGGGAGAAACACATCCGGTTGTTCTGGATAGCAAAGTCTGCAGATGATTCGGTTCTATTCTTAGAGGAAGTATCATTGTGGTTTTAAGGAATGGAGGAATCCCAAAGCAAACATTTCATCCTCCTTGTCCCGAAGAAAAAAATCCCTACATACCACTGAGAAGCCCAGACAGAGCTCACAGAACCCAGCAGAAACAGCTAACACAATTAACCCACGTGCCAAACAACTTACTGACAGGATATTAGATTTTTGAGTGACCTGTGTGTGCTGAATGTGGGAGGATTCTGTCTGTGTGCCATTGTGTGAGCTGGTCTAGAACAGGGAATTGTGTGTGTGTGTGTGTGTGTGTGTGTGTGATTTGCTGAGAGGAAATACCAAATCACAGCTGCATTTTTGTGCACACATGAGGCATAAAACCAGCGCACAGATGAACTCGCGGAGGAATGTCAAATAAATACTGTACCCGTCATACCAAATTAACCACTCGAGACACGTTCCACACACTTTTACCACACATTTGGTTCACTTCATTCTGTTCGTTCATTTTCAGGATTTAGAATAAATGCAGTACAATTTCAGATTCAGAAATGTCTGCTTATACAATGACAAAATGCCTGCTCTAAAAATGATAATTTGCTAAGTGTCTTTCATTTACTTTTGGGTCAATTTTGTGTAATTTAATATTTATGCAGTGGTCCCATTCTCTTTGTCATGTTTAATTTTT